GTCTCTGTTTAAGTCATTTGGTGAGACACTGGACTGGGAGAGACTGGTGGGAGAGAAGAACCCAGAAGTAGTGAGTCACAGGGCAAGTGGATAGCTTCTTGGGTCAGAATAAGCCTTGGAGGAAGAGGGGAGGCTCCAGAGACAAGGGCAGCAAATTCCAAGGACGAACAGGAACATTCCTGGGCAAGGCCGATAAAGAAAAAGGACTCTAAGATAACGACTGGGATGCAAGATGTAATTCTGGGCACAGAGACATGAAGGCAGAGTAAGGAGAACACTGAGAACTAACCAATCACAAAGAGACTGACAGGGCTTTAGAATAATTAGGGAAAGGAAGTGTACATTCCCTGCTGCATGACTCCATGCTTCCTTGCCCCTCCCTGGCCTGGTTCTATAACAGGGTGGTCCCCAGAAAGGGGGGAGTTTCCAGGTTCCCTGCCCCACCCAAAGAAGAATGGATCTGAGCAGGGAAGAGAAGCAGCTGGAGAAGGGACAGAGGAAGGAAGGAAGCAGGATGGAGCCAGAAGGAGACCTGGAGGAGGCACATGGAGCAGAGAGAGACGTGAAGAAACTGCACTTGCCTTTTGGTCGTGAACTGGGTGACACAGATGTGGGTGAGAGACCCGTGGGGAGGTGTCAATGGCAGCTTTTATCTTGATTTTGATTTTGCTCTTTTCCTCCCACACTTGTCTGGTTGTTTCTGATCCTTTTCTGTGGGTCCCCACGGGAAGGTGCTTTAGACTGTGGCAGGCTTTGGGACCTTGTTCTGGGCCAATCCTGCTTGGGTGGACTTTTACCCACGAGGGGATGGGTAACTTTGGGTGCTTGATTTAGAAACTCTATTCTTTGCCTTTCCTGTATTGTTTACTAACCGTATTAAAGTTCCTTTTCATTAAAGTCTCATATGTTGTGTGTTGATGCGGCGGATGGCAAAACCTATTTAGAGCAGGCAGGTTTGCAGGGTCTGGGCTGCCCCTCTCCCTGCCCTGTAACAGATCCACTGGCCTGGGAGTCCCACTTTTTTTCTGTTCCTTTTCTCCTTGATAAACTTTTCCTTATATCTATTTCTCTAAACAAATTTGCCTCTTTTTGCTTGCTTGCCTGAGAGTCAGCGAAGTTCCTGCTGCAGCTGCATGAGACACCACCCCGTGGTGGTCTAGTGGCTGGGACTCAGCGCTGCCACTGCAGCCTGGGATCCTTTCCTGGCTGGGAGTCTAAATCTGAACACCTGAAATTACGGTAACAGTAGGTTCAACCATTTGTGGAAACTTGGTGCATCTGGATAGTCTACAAACCACAGGGAAGGGGGACTGTCCAATAGTGTTGGGACAATTGGTTACTGGTACCCAAAAAAGCCAAATATTAAATGCAATATATAAAAATAAATTTCAGGTAGATTAAAATCTAAATTTTAAAATAAAAATTTATGCCTTAGAAAAGCCCCAAGGGTGGGAAAGAAGATTCAAAAGCATAAGCCATAAAGGTAAAAAAAAAAAAATCAATTCATTAAACAATCTAACATTTCAAGATTACTTTGCCATTATAAAAAATCTTCTAAGAGAGAGTAGGGAAGATACTTAAAAATGCAAATAATTGAGAAAGTCAGTCTATCTGGAGCAGACTAGCACTACTCCAGAATACAATTTTTTTTTAATTAAAAAAAAAAACTTTATACATAAAACTGCAGTATAGGCCATAGGTGCAGAGGGTAAGAGGATTCACCAGAGACAGAGCGGGGAGCAGAACAGGCAGACTGAGTGAAATACACTGCTGAGGGGAGCAGCGGATGAGACAGGAGAGGTCTGCTGCACCATGTGGGTTAGCTCCCTGGCAGGGATTGAACTCAGGCCAAAGCGATGAATAGTGCTGAGTCTTAACCCCTAGGCCACCAGGGAGGCCCCAGAATACTTATTTTAAGTAAAAGGCACACCATCCAAATGGACAATGGGCAAAGGACATGAACAAACAACAGACAAGGAAGCCGGCACAACCAATGCATATGAAGATGCTTAAGCCCATTGTAAACAAAACCCGAAGGAGACAACACTCACCCAAGCAGCAAAAAATACAAACTTCGATAACACCATGTGTTGGCAAAGGGGGGAAACAAGACTCTTGGGATAAAAGGGAATCTGCTTGGGGAACAAGTGGGAGCCTTCGGTCAATGGGCGGAGCGGCTGCCAGTACTCACCCAAATCCGCAAGCACAGGTGCTCACAGCAGTAATTATACTATAGAACCCCTGCAAAATAGCATAAGCAGTAGAGTATTATACAGCCCAACACTAAACAATAGCTGAAGTAACTGACCCAGAGCTACCTTATATACATGAACGTCTCAAGAATACTTTAAAATACAAATAATCCAGTCAAACAATGGGCAGAAGAGCTAAACAGACACTTCTCTGAAGAGGAAATGCAAATGGCCAACAGGTATAGGAAAAAATGTTCAACATCACTTGTAATCAGGAAAATGCACAAAACCACAATGAGATACCACCTTATACCAGTCAGAATGGCACATATTAAAAAAACAGGAAACAACAAATGTTGGCGAAGATGTGGAGAAAAAGGAACTCTCCTATGCTGCTGGTGGAAGTGCAAACTGGTCTGACCACTAAGGAAAGCTGTGTGGAGGTTCCTCAAACTATTGAAAATGGAGCTTCCATATGACCCAGCAATTCTACTCCTAGGGATCTTCCTAAAGGACACAAAAATATTAATTCAAAAGAATACCTACATCCCTATATTCATTGCAGCACTATTTACAAAAGATAGGATATGGAAACCTAAATGCCTAAAAAGATGATTGGATTCAGAAGATGTGGTATATATACACAATGGAATATTACTCAGCAATCAAGAAAGATAAACTCGTGTCATTCGCAGCAACTTGGATGGAGCTGGAAGGGATTATGCTCAGTGAAATGTTAGAAGGATAAAGAAAATTATCAGATGGTCTCACTTATAGCAGGAATATAGAGGAACCAAATAAGGGATCAGGGAAAAAAGCAATAAAAAATAATAAAAAAATTATCAGGCAACTATAAATCAGAGACATTTGCAGGTGAAAGGGAGGGAGAGGGGTCAAAATAGGGGCAGGAAGAGCAGAAGGGACTCTGGTGATGGTTCACAGGTGAATTGGTGGTGGCAATTTTATGAGGACTACACCCGAGAGGAGAAAGCAGATATTGTACAAAAATGAACAATGATGTAAAATATATATAAATAAATTTAAAGAATACAGAACTTTAAAATGAATGGTCAAATATATATGGTATGATATCATTTCTGGTTTTTAAAAAATGCCAACACGCGAAACTGAACTAAACATGGATGGGAAGGGTAGAATGCACTTCAGGACAGTGGGTGGGAATACATAGGACAGGTGCCACAGGCAAATTGGACGTTAGAAAGAAAACCTGGGGATTCTGATGACAAATAGGGAACAAATATGAAAAAAAATTAAGATTAGTTGATTAGTTCCATAAGGGGATGGGTAATTTGCACTCCAGTTCTCTGTTTGAATTATCTTTTTAAATCTTCTTTCTTCACTTGTGCGCTGGGCTCCGCAGCCTTCCAGTTGCTAAGGAGCCCAGCTCTGCAGGCCATCTCCTCCCCTGGCTCCCTACTGCTGTCTTCTCAACATTTACTTGTTTTTTTCCACTCTTAACACTTAACCCTAACACTTCATCCAGGGCCCATTCAGACCCCCCTCAGCAATCCTCCTCCTCTCAACCTATTTAGAATTGGGGTCCTCCACCTTCTGCTCGCACCTCACAAAGTGGCCTCCACTTCCAGCAACTTGTCAAGCTTTTCAGAGGCCTTTTAGGCCTAATACATCAGGCCACATGACAAATCTTATCTTTGGAAACCCCACCCTGCAATTACTCTCAAAAAGATGCTATTGAGGGCTTCCCTGGTGGCACAAGGGGTTAAGATGCAACCTATGAAGCTATCAGCAGCCACTGCAGCACAAATTCGATCCCTGACCAAGGAGCTACCCACATGGCGCAGCAGACCTCTCCTGTCTCCCCGCTGCTCTCCTCAGCAGTTATCTCAGTCAGTCTGTTTGTTCTGTTCCCCACTCTGTCTCTGGTGAATCCTCTCACCCCCCACACCTCTGGCCTGTACCCTAGTTCTTATATGCATAAATAAATCAATCTTTGGGGGAAAAAAAAAAGACATTACTGAGTAGAATCAGCTTTTCCCATCAGGAACAAGGCCTCCGCCTTCTGAAAATTCTTCAACTTTCAACTTTCACAACTGGGATACCACCACCTGGGGCCTCTGAGCAGTTCATGAGGCAGTGATAGCTGCCTGGATTCAAGTGCTGTCCAAGGGAATGCCACCTCCAAGGTCCCAGTGTTTTCCTCTGCTCATCTATAAACGGCTCCGGAAAAACAAAGTGTCTGTCAGACGTCAAAAATACACCATGCTTTTATTCCCCTCTTGATAAACAGCCGCCTTTACTCATGTGATTTCTGGAACAAGGAGACAGGGCTACCACTGGTTTGAACTGCAAACTCAGTATCTGCATCTGTCATCAAAGGGCTGTGCCCCCTGGTAGCAGCACCAGCCCTGCACTGCTACAGAGGCCTGTCCAGGGGCTTTTCTGAGATGTCCTTTGTGATCTGTTAGTGATGTGGAGAGAAGGAAAACCCAGCCAGGTCCCTTTCCATGCCCCGCACCACAGCACCCAGGCATGTAGCCACAAGAAAGAAGAGCCCACACCGGGCCGCCATGGTCTCTATTATAGACCGACCACAGCTAAGGGAACCAGTCTCTCTTGCCAGCCACACAGCTGAAGCCAGTGCTGACCTCACTGTCAGCTGGCAGGCCTTTCTACTCCCTGAATGCATGGGCTTAGGAAATTTTCCAGTCAATGTCTGGAAAGAGGAGGGGACAGTGAAGTCTCTCTCCTTCATAACTGGGCAAGTCTCCTCCCTTCTGTGCCCCAACCACGCCATCCCGGGGACTGAGAGATGCAGGGGGTGGGGTCACTCTCACAAACAGACCAAACTCCACCATTCCAACAGGATTCATCTATTTATTGACATTAATATTAAGCCACTTCCCAGCAGTCACTGCTGGAACAAAAATAGGACTCAGTTTCTAAAGGTAATAAAATAATGGCTCCATCGTAGACAAAGCTTGGGGACATTCCTTGCAGAGAAAATTGGCTTTTCTTCTCCAGCCAGAGCCATCGGTGCTGAGAGCTGTCAGGGCTGGACTCCTGGTCCCGAGTACCTGCACGCCCGCCATCGTGTCTTGACCCTCGGAGCACCCCAGGCGGGGTTGTGCGGGTGGCGCCTTCTCACGGGCCCCACGTCTCTAGCCCTCCTCGGTTCTTCTAGATCCGCTTCCTGCTTCTGATCAGTGAAGCAAGTGTTCGCGGAGGGAGAGCCGAGATCTGGTGACAAAACCACTAGCACCAAGAAACTGGTTCTTCCTCTTCATGAAGTAAACACAATTCTTTTTTATTCTCTTTTTTTCTTACTGAAAGAAAAGTCTTAAAAATATATGGCACTAGAATGTAAAGCTATACAACTGCAGTTAAAATTTCCTACACCTGGCCCGCAGTGCCCTGCCCCCTCAGATGTAGAGCTGATGGGAGGCCAAGGTGTCCATGAAAGGGCGCACCAGGTTGTCCGTGGAGAAGTAGAAGATGAGCCCAAACGTGATGGAGATGGGCAGGGCGGGCAGCGCCTTCTTGAACACGGCCAGCAGCAGGAGAGTCAGACACAATCCCTGCAGGACGGGAAGGGGAGGGGTGAGATCTGACCACTGGTGCGGAGGGCAGGGAAGGGCTAGTGACAGCCCAGCCTCCAGGCTCAGGGCTGTTCAAGGACTTCTTGGGCATTAGCTCTGGACACCCCACCATCTTTCCTGGTCCTGTTGACAGCTCTGTGAGGTGCCAGAGGGCAGGGGTTCCATCCCTAACATAACACACTGCATGTCAGTGAATGAGCCAGAAAGCAGGCCTCTGTCTCCTACAACAGGGCACCCTCTCCCAGGTCATCCCTCCAACTGGCTATGGAGTGACACGTGTGACACGATGGTCGGACGCCTGCCCTCAGGGGCTACGTTTATATGTAACTGGACTCAGATGCCAGTGAAGTTCTCAGCAGCTAATAGCCTGGGAACCAGAGATGCTCAGCACCATCCTGCCCTTAGAAGCAGGCGCAGCGGCTGCCCGCCTTGTGCCCCCCTGGCTGATGCAGCCAGTGGCTCAGGGAAGAGCCAGGGAACGAGAACGATTGTCCCAGATTTGGGGACAGCAGGGCAACAAGTCAGACAATCCAGAGCTGAGGGTGTTGGAGGTTCCATTACTCCAGCCCTGAAATGCACTTTGGGCAGGCACAGGATCTCCAAAGATCTGCAGCCTTGGCTTCAATGTGCCTCACAGGGCAGAGAACTAGGGGGAGTCACAGGACATTTCCCCCACAAGGTGTATCTGGCACCCACCCCTCTTCTGAAATGACTATAGGAATCTCCTAATTCCACCCCTGGGGTTTCAAAGTGATGGGGCCACCCCTAAAAGCCACGGTGTCTGGGTGGCAGAGGAGGGAAAACACACAGCCAGAGTCAGAGACCTGACACAGCTCGTCTCTCAGGAGCTCTGTGGTCCACAGGCCAGGCCCTCTTTCTACGTCCTCTCCTATAAATCTCAGGTAAGCTCCCCAGCCTCACAGTGACTTGAGACAAGGGCGCAGAGCTTTCAGCCAAGCCCTCGACACCAAGGCAACCATATAATGTCAGAGCCCGTCCCAGGCCCAGTCCCTGCATCTTGTCAAGACTGAAAATTCCCTCGGGATATTGTGTCCCATGTCATGCCCCAGCCCACTCACGATGAGGATGGCCACGAAGCAGGCCAGCGTGGTGTTCCAGTCACCACTGCCCGTGGCCGCCGCCTTGCCCACCAGCACGCTGTAGAAGATGAAGTCTCCGAGGCCAAGCTTCACCCCTCCTGTGTGGGGAAGAGTGAACCTGTCATCTTTTTAAAGCCCCAAGAGGCAGTGACAGAGGAGGCTGACACCAGCCAAGCAGTCCAGCTGCTCTGCCCAGCCCAAGGGAATCAGGGGCCGGGGGCCAGAAGGGCTGGTGTCAACATGCAGCCCACCTCACCTGGACTCTGGGACAAGGACTGGATTTGAAAAAGAGTAGCTAGTGGTGCTAGGGGATCCCATGGACTGGAGGATTTGCAATGTGGGCTGCAAAGGTAAAACCTGTGGTTGGCACTTACCTGAGTAAAGAAAAGAGCAAATCAAAATGCCATGTCTGGCACTGGAGACTGTTGCACACTAACTGCTCAGTTTAAGTATAAATGTTTTATAGGAAATTTAATCTCACTATTTTCAAGTGTGTGTGTAATACCTAGAGGTCCTTTGGAGACCCCCTCCCCTTAAAAACAAACAATTTGTAATTAGCTTATTTGTGACTGATAAGGAAAGAAGAGCTTCTAAAATGCTTTCAAGTAGCTTTTCTTTAGTTTATAGGGTACTTTTGCTCACCATAGACAATAATAAAAATATTTATGTAATCACCTAGACTTGAGACAGCCTGTGCCACGGACACGTACTGCTTGCTGCCTCATCCACACCCCTCTTCTTCCTTCCTCTGGCTCCAAACATGCAGCATCCCCCCTCCTGGTCAAGGTGGCCTCTGTCAGGCTCTGCTCCAACTGTCCCTTTCACCCCATGACCAACAAGGACATGGGTGGTGTCCCTATCACTCTCCATTCTGACTGCACCATCCCAGGAGTCCCTTCTTGGGGTCCACAGTCTGGACATGCTATGCTGAAGACTCCAACTTGAATATCAAAGACTGACCTGACTCCTCCCTGAGTGCCCCCCCCCCTTCATGTGTCCACTGGCATCTTACCTGGATATCCTATAGACCCTCACACCTGCTGTCTCACCTTGCCCTTGGGCATCCACTATGCCTTCCTCCTGGCCCCTCACCCAGACAAGCCTGCAAGCTCGTCTGTCCATTGGGTGGGCAGCTCCAGCTCCTCTCCACCGCTGCCTGGGTGTGGACCCCAAGGGCTCGCCTCTCCCATCCACAGCCTCATCCCCTCCTGGCCTCCAGGAGTCTGCATACCTTGAAGCTGCCATGGTCTATGTGGACCACACAGAAACCATCCCTGCTCCCTACCGCCTCCATGATTGAATCTGAGCTGCTCCTTGAGTACAGCACACCCCTTCAGGTCTAACTCTCCCCCCACAGCTCCCTTGCCCAGTCACCCCCAGCCTAGAGTTCCCCAAAAGTGTCCATCTCTCTCAGGGGAGCCTTTGCCAATGATGCAGTATAATGGCGGCTTCTGTCCCTGGCTCCTGGGAGGGAGACTAAATCCTTTGAATCCCCAAGTAATGGAGTGTCAGCACGGTTTGGTTCAGTAGCCACTGGGATCCCACTTGGGTTTATGCGGATGAGAGGATCAGCAGGGCTTGTGACTCAGCCAGCTGGACCTCTGGGGGAGGGGAGGGTCTGGAGGGGCAGCTCAGGCATGTGAATAGAGATGGTTCAATCAGTCACGCCTGTTACTGAAACCCACAAACACTGGAGACCCTGCGCCTCCACGAACTTGCCCGGGTGCTGGGTTGTGACGCGCCCTGACGTCCCAGGAGAGCGTGCTTGGGACCCTCACAGACCTCACCATATGGTCTGTCTGGTCCTGAGCTGTATTCTCTGAAATAAAACTCTGAGTTCTGTGTGTGATTCCAGGTGAGTTGTCAAATCTGAGGGGGGGACCCTGGGTTTGTAGCCAACTAGCCAGACGCTGGAGACCTCCAAGCTTGTGGTTGCTAAGTGCAGGAGGGTGGTCTTGTGCCCTTTACCATGATTAGCTACAGCACAGCAGCCCGCCTGCTGGGTGAGCGCCCGCTCGTCCTCAAGGCCCCTTAGCTACCTTCTTCCCCAGACTTGCCCTGAGACCTCCCACTCACCACCTGGACTGCTCCCAGGGGAAACTTCTCCAGGGCAGAGGCTGCCTTAAAACTGCAGCGGCTCCATACTCTCATGTGTCAGCTGGCACATAGCAGTGGTCTCTAACTGTGTGCTGATGGAAAGACTATTTACTCTCCTAAAGTAAACAGCCCTATCTCTGGGTTCATCTTCCACACCTGCTCTTCCGCCACCCCAGCCATTTGGGCACCACCCCAACACTGCCCCCTGCCCTGTCTTCCAGGGCCCCATCAGACCTGCTCAGCCCAGCCTGCTTTGCGAGCTCCTAGCTACCCACCATCTCCAACTCCCATCCTCCCGCTCCTCACAGCCACACCGCAGGTCCCAAGGGGCACTCTATCTTCAAACTCAAGTGTACTTGTCGGGATGGAACTATCCCCTGGCTATGACCCGGCCCCCTTCACAGCCCATCTCCCACGCAACTCAAACCCCACTGCCCGCAGTGCTCATGGACACAGGCCAGATCCTCCTTCCTCTGAGGCCCTTCAAGTCCCAAGTGAAGCCTCAAGCCCCATCTGTGCACTTTGCTCAGTGTCCTGCTTTCACTTTGTCTAGCTGGGTGCCATCTGCCCCATGGTCTCTGCTCCTACTGTCCCCGCAGCCAGAAACACCCCCCCACTTCTTTTTCCTGCAGTGGCTCTATCTCTGGAGTTTAGCTCTAAGTTACTTCCTGGGTAACTTGATCCATTGGGACCAGGTCAAGAACCCCCATCTGTCTCCTCAGCACCCCAAGCTCGCCTAACCATCCACCCCAGGCTCGCAGCATGTGTGATTAGTGCCTGGGCCTGCTGGACAGTGAGTGCCAGCACAGCTGGGCCTGCGTGAAGCTCCCTGGCCTGGCCCAGCACGGAGCAGCATTCAGTGAACCCAACTACATGCGTGCGTAGCCTCAGTGTGACAGTCCCTCTGGCCAGCCAACCGGGGTCCGCATTTGCAGGATTTGCCCTAACTTTTGTAAACTCCCCAGTGTGAAAAGAGGCCCCCGTTCCACCTCCCTTGATTTCAGGGAACCCCACCCCGGGACCTACAGGCCGTTGGGGCACCTTACTTTCCTCCTCTTCCTCCAAGTCTTCTCCCGGGTAGCCAGGCAGCGGGGGTTCAAAGACTTCAGGGTAGGAAGGTTCCCCAAAACTGTCATAGGAATCTTCTTCTGGGTGTCCAGGAAAAGACGATGATGGTCATCACATGAGGGGGCAGTAAGGGCGAGAGACAAAAGCCCAGTCAGGGGGTCTCAGGGAACAACGTGAGTCCCTCAGAGCCCTGACCCAGCCACCTCACCCAGCTCTAACACGAAGGTTCATGATTGCACCTAACAAGGGAGGGAGAACACAAGAAATGGGGCCGGGGCAGAGGACCAAAGCCCCGTCCTTACTCCGTCTCTGAGATGCGTATGTCAGGAAGGCTGGTTACCTCTCCTGCCCTTCTGATCTCGAGCTTCCTGGAGAGGCCAGGCCGACTGAGTGCAACGGAGGAGGTACCCCCTGTGAGGAGAAACCATCTCGTCCCCCAGACTTACCCATCTCTGGGTCGTAGGGAAGCTGCAGGGCTCCCTGCGAGGAGGGGTCCAGCTTGGCCATGCCCACTGTCCACACCATGGCAGCTGGAAAAGAAGAAAGGGTGATGATGCAGGCAGTGTTCCCTGCGGCTGCTCCCAGGGCCGGGGGGCAGGTGGCCCAGTTTGTGCACCAGAGGCTTGCCTGGTACCTCACTTCCCATGGGTGTTGGTAGTGCCCACTGTTAGAAGCCACCGGAGCAGGGAACCCAACTCATGGACCAGGTGTGGGCAGACAATGCCTTTTCCTGTCTCTTTTGCCTCCTCACGAAAACGATAATATCAATGAACACATTGTATTGGGGGGACAATAATATCAGGTGAACAAATTGTGCTTTTTAATGTGGCCAGAAAAAAAACACAAAAAAAAAAAAAAACCACAAAAAAGGGTATAGTCTTCACCATTTTAAAGTTTTCAGTTTAGCAGCATTAACTCTATCCAGACTGTTGTGAAACAGATCTCCAGAACTTTCTCACCTTGCAAAACTAAAACTCTGAACCCAATGAACACAAACTCCCCACGACCCTTTCCTCACTACCAGTGCCATTCTACTTTCTGTTCCTCTGGCTACTCCGGGCACCTCATGCAGGTGAGAGCACATAGTATTTACCTTCTGTGCTTGGCTTATTTCTCACAGCATAATGTCCTCAAGGTTCATCCATGTTGTAGCAAGTGACAGGATTTCATTTCTTTTTAAGATTAAATAACATTGCATACTATGGCATGCCTGTATTGGTTTGTTCATTCATTCATCAATACACACTTGGGTTGCTTGCACCTCTTTGCTGTGAGTATAGTTATAAAAAGTCCACTTTCAACTCTCCTGGGTAAGTGTACAGAGGAGAAAGCGCTGCACCATGCAGTACCAACTGTTTTCCCCTCTGGCCTGGAAACTCTGATCCTGCGTGGCCCTCATTCTCACTCTCCACCTGGCTGTCTAGTGAGTGTCCCAAGCTGGCATGTCCCCAACATTGAACTACCCTTTCCAGCCCCAGTGGCCTTTGCCCTCCCTCTCAGGAGCTGGCAATGCCACCCTTTCTGTGGCTCAGGCCCGAAGCATCCATCTCTTTCTCAACACCCACAATTCCAACCATGAGCAAATCTTGCTAATCCTGCCTCCAAAAGGTTCCCAGACTCCAACAACTCAATACCTCCACTGCTGCCTGAGGTCAAACCCCATTCCCTGCAAACCTGGCTCCAGCTACCACTCTTATCCTTATATATTATGTTCTCCACACTCAGCAACCCACGTGATCCTCTTAAAACATGAAATCAGGTGGGTGTGAAATCCCCTAGTGGTATCACATCTCACAAAGGAATGGGGTCAAAGTCCTCACCATGGCCTGCAGGGCCTCAGTGATCTGGTCCTGTCCCTCTACCTGGCCTCAGGGTACCCCTGAGCAGAGCAGGCCCACTGCCACCTCAGGACCTTTGCACCAGCTGCTGTTCCTTCTGTCTGGAACACTGTACCCAGATTTTCCTAAAGCAGATCTCTAGTAAAATGTCCCCTGATGACAGAAGGCTTCCTTGGCCACCTTATGCAACACAGCATCCCTACCCTCTCTTCCCCTTAAGTCCTCAGGTCCCTGGCCCTGCCTTATATTTCTATAGAGCATTCACTCCTGACTTACGTGTTTCTTAATTACTGTTTGTCCCCTCTCCTAGAACATAAGCCCCATGAGAGCACAGAGACAGTGAATGAAATCCAGCATCGTCTCAGTCTTTCCATATGTGGTATCTCCTCCTCTTCACCATGGGCCTGGAAAGTGTGTTTACACTGTGGGCCATGCTGCCCCTGATTCTCCACCACAAGTGAGTCTCCAGTTGCAGAGAGATTATCCAGAACTCTGCAGTCATTATATAAGGTATTCCCAGTGCACCCTGCAGACTGCTCAGTCCCAGAAAATCAGATTCTCTATTTAAACAAACCAACTGTCAACAGAGGGGAAGGCATCAAAGCTATAGGGCTGTGAACTCTGTAAGGCTGAAGATCACACTGCACCCCAAAGCACAGCATGGTGGTACAAAGGGGAATCTGACACAGCCATTTGAATGCATATATAAATCCAAATCCCTGCCTGTTGACTGACCTAAAGGCCAAAAGTGATCATTCCATGTGCCTTCCCTTCAGAAACAACTTCTGTCGGGCCTCCCCTGGTGGCATAGCGGTTGATTGCTGGGTTGCGAAGCTGCCCGCAGCCTCTGCAGCACCGGTTCAATCCCCGGCGACCGGGCGAGGGTCCCACATGGCGCGCAGAACTCTCCTGCCACGCCCGCTGCTCCCCTCAGCAGTGTATTTCGTCAGTCTGCCTGTTCTGTTCCCTGCTTTGGCTCTGGTGAATTCTCTCACCCTCCTGCGCTTCTGACTATACTCAGTGCTTATATAAATAAATAAATAAATCTTTAAAAAAAAAAGAAAGACGCAACTTCTGTCAGTCTTACAGCTGTTGGGGAAGCCCAGTGAGAAAGACAGGGGCACCCTGTTCACCCAAGCCCCTGCCTTCAAGAGTTCTGGGGATGGCTTCAGGTTCATGGGAACATGGCCTATACCCACCACATGCACTGGAGAAGGGGTGCGCTGAAGGGCTGGCCAAGACCCCTAAAGCCCCCTTCCCACTATAACCCTCCAAGTTACTTCCTGAGTAACAGCCAAGACATAGGGGTCAGAAGGTGAAGACCCTCCTGCGATCACCAAGGCAACTCCTCCCCTTTGGTCAGGTATAGGTGACTCTCCTAGTAACTCTGAAGGCCATGGCCAGGGAGCAGCCCCTTATCCCCACCTTAGGCCTCCTTTGACCACACATTCACGTGGAGGCACGGGCGCCACTCACATGAGTATATCAAGGCAGGAAATATGGGCTCATTTCTCTCCTGAGCAGTTTCCACCAGCATTCGCAGTGGCCCTTTGGGGCACAACACAGCTACGAGATCTGGGAAAACAAAGACATCCTTGTCATGTTCAAAAAGATATTTATTCCCAAGTCACCCCCAGAGAAGAGCCAGCCCTCCAACAGGGAGCACAGGAGATGCATTTGTCCGAGGCCTAGTGCAAGGCTCTCAAAACACACCCTGTCCTTTATTCTAGCATCCCAACCCATCAGTTTCCAGTCACACTCTCCAGAGTCTGCACTGGCTGGGGCCTAGAATGGAGTCTGGTTTAAAAGGGTGAACTGCAACCATGGAAAAGCTGTTGCCTCAAGACCCAAACAATGGGCTCAAACTCCTCATCCTTCCAGTGGCAGCAACAGCACAGCGACAGTCATAAGGTCATTGTGCTCGTACTAATCGAGGAGCAGCTAACACTGAGGGTCCTCATTATCTGTAGCTATTGTGCCCAACTTCAGGGCTGTTCAAGGGAATAAACAGCTCAGCTGCATTGAGGGCTTAACTGTATGCATGCAATAAACATCTATTCTTACTGATAACCAACCATGTCAATAGTCTGAGTCTATGGAACTTTGAAGCTCTCAGAAGGGAGCACAACCAGAACTCCTTAGGGACGGAGGGTCTGCTCCAGGACCCACACCTTTTGTGAAGTAGAGAGAAGGACTCACCCCGGATGCCCCACCACCACCCCGACCCACCTACCCGGGATGCACGCCTGCCTGCACCCACCTACCATACACAGAGATGGCGCCCAGGATGACCCACGCAGACCACTCTGGGAGGTACTTGATGAACACCAAGGCCATGAGCGCGCTGATCATGATGAGGTACGCCTGCTGCAGCACCAGGGGGCCCTTCCAGTGGATGCACACCATGCCCACCGCCCCGAAGTTCCAGACGGTCAGGAAGAGGGTGGGGTAGTCCATGGCCACGTTGTAGGTCTTGAGCACTTCTCTGTGGGACCAAAGTCGAACCCGTGGGGTGGGGTCTCAGAGATGTTAGCGTCAGACAGTTCAACACCCCTGTTCCTCAACCACTAAGTTCAACCTGGGTCTTTCAACTTCTAACTTCACTTACTAAACACCTCTTTCCCCATGTCTAAGAGTCCTACCACTTAACATGTGTAATATTTTCTAGAACAGGTGGAAGAATAACTGATGGCTCAGTTTTTGGGTTGGTTCATGTAAATGCGTGCTGGCACGATGTGGAAGGCCCTTCACCCATGAAAAAGGCCCTCGGGAAAGTTATTTCTCCTTTACTCCAGTGGGCCTGTGGGTCAGGCTGGTGTTCCAAGCGCAGGGCACTAGAAGCCATAAGCCAGAGGAACCCGGCCCAACCTGAAGATTAGCATGTAAATCTTTAGGGGTTTCTACCTTCTTTGGGTTCAGAGAGCCTCCTACATACATGATGACTCGGCTTAATTGTTTTAAAGTAGGAACCAGAGATGTGTGGTGACCCTGGACCCCACTCCATGCCAAGCAGGCCCTGGGAATGGGGGCCCGCAGGCCTGGGCTCTTAGAGCAGTGACATCGGGAGGATGTGGGGCCCGACGGGCACCTCTCCCACCCAGATCCTTCATATCCACTTGTGCTGCAGGGGGAGGGGTCCCCGAGGACCCTGCTCCTCACCAGCTGCCACTTACCCGAGGTAGATATAGGTGAAGAGGAACAGCAACATCAGAGAGGACATGATCAACCAGCCGTGGATAAACTAGACACAGAAACAGGCAGAGTGACCATGAGGTGTCCCTAAATCACACGATATTTGGAACTGACACCTAAGCCTGAAAATCTTTGATAGGCTCCTTCCTGACTCTGCTGGAAGGTACCAGGCAGCCATTTTACAGGTTACAAGGGCACAGAAATCCAAGGAGTCCTTTCAAGGTCACCAGGAAGCACATGAGGGGCCAAAACACCCAGGTCTGTGCTCTCCCTGCCCCCCACTCATTCGTGTAGGCAGGACATGCTCACGCCAGGCGCTGGAGATAACGTGTGCTGTGTTCCAGTGTGAAGACAGTTGGACAATAAATACATACACAAGTACAGAAGGTTGTGATACGAGCTATAAAAAAAAAAAAAAAAAAAAAAAAAAACACAACAACCTGGTAGGACAAAATGAAAGGGGACTGAGCCGGGATGCTGGGTGACCAGGGCAGGCTCTCGAGGGAGCTTTTTCAGAACAGAGACAACCAGGGAAGTCCCAGGAAGACCCTCTCACCTGAGGGTCTATAAACAGGGCCTCAGAAGGACAAGTTCCTTCTCTTCTGGCCAAACAAGGAGAGTCAAGGACAAGGGTAGGTGATTTTAAACCAGCCCCATAGCCAGCCATCAGTGGCATGGCAGTGCCACCATTACCAGACTCCTCCCTGAGGACAGACCCATCAGTCACCAGTTTGGCCACTGGGAACTCCAAGGGGGACCTGGTTTACCTGGAGTGAATGCAGAGTCAAGGTCATGCTGAGCACACAGCATGGGATGTGCTGACCTTCCTCCCAGTTGCCCCACCTAGTGCCACCATCATCTACGGCCTAAGGATCATGGAGCCTCCAAATAAGCCTTATGAAAAGGATGGCCGAATTGCTCCCTTACAGGCCCTGGGAATGGTCCCTGCCACTGGCCAGCCACAGCAATGCCAGTTCCATGCTTCTCCAACTGGTACCGACTGCCCCCAACAAGCATCCCCCTTACTTGCTCCCTACCATCCTCTATCCTCCCTATCCCAATCAAAAACTCGTAATATCTCATTCACATGGAGATACCCATCATGCCTACTATGGTCACCCACAACTGGGACAGGGCTTATCTATCTAGAGTGAGGCCCTTCTGTCTTTCTGCCTCCTCCATAGATGGCAGCAGCTTGAATGTAGAGTGCTCTGCAAGCCATGTGAACAACTTCAGAATAGACAATGCCTTGTTTAGCTTCCTTCTGGTTTTTTGGACTTGAAAGTCTTCCTTGGGAGAAAAAGCCTAAGACCATGCCTCCAGGCTGACGGGGTCTTCAGGGAAAGCCAGGCCCATGGGTTGGCACGGGGGAACCTCAACTCTTCTATTCCTCCCTGTGGCGGTTCCACTGATACAGGGGGCCTAAGCCCAGTGTCTCCCAGTGCTGGAAGACCTCTGCATAGCATGCCGTCCAGAAGGGAAATGGGAAAATAAAAATAAACCTGGAGGGAAAGTATGGAGTGAAGGCAGCCTCAAACAGAACATCTCAGGCCTCCCTGGTGGCAGCCTGAGTTCAATCCCCCACCAGGAAGCTCACCCACATATGGCACAGCAGACCTCTCCTGTCTCGCCCACTGCTTCCCTCAGCAGTGTATTTCAGTAACTTTGCCTGTTCTGCTCCTCACTCTGCACCTCTGGTCTACACTCCAGTTCTTCTACACAAAAATAAATAATTAAAAAAAATAAAGGAGCATCTCACTTCTTCAGAAGGAGAAGCAAAAGAAAATCAACCTCTGAATATGAGAAGTGACATTTTGAACACTGCAATGAGGAACTCAATTAAGTGGGACAATGTTGAAGAGACAGCTGCCCTCCTCGGGGGGGTACTGTGTAATCCGTGGTTGGGGCAGGAGCAGGGTGGGAAAGAGAACCAAAAATCGGTCTATTTTGCAGACTACAAGAGTCTAATAGGTCAACCAAGCAATGGCTTCTGTGTGTGTGGGCAGAGGGCGCAGCTCACCTTGTAGCAGCGGTACTTGTAGAGCACAACCAGGAAGATCGTCATGACCACGATGACGCTAATCATGATGAGGGTGTTCAGCACGGAGTTGAGGAGGCGCTGGCCCACTGAGGGGGTGTCCTCAGTGAATGGCGTGTAGATGCTGAGGGAGAATGCAAGGGCTAAAGAATCTGCTCCTGCCTGCTCTGCGCGTGCCCTACCCCAAAGGAGCCCAGAGGGCCGTGTGGTGGAAGCACCTGGGACACCCCCGACCTGATGCTCTGCCTGCCTTCAGCCCCTCAGCTGGAAGCTGCTCCTGCTTCCATCCTGACATCGGGACCCCTGGCCTCAGTCTGCTGGCTAAGCCCAACGTGGATGGGCCTGGATGCCCTCACCAAGGTATCTGCTGCTCCCCAACTCCCATCAATTCAAATCTCTCTTAGATGCTTCTCTGCTCTGCCCCTGAAGGACCAGGCAGTTCCCCACATCCACCTCTCTATCACTACATGCAGCCTACGAGTGCCCTTGCTGCTTCCTCTTGCCCCATCTGGCACCAACCCCAAGCTGCACACACAGCTAAGGCCAGCAGACCATCACGTATACCTCCGCTGCCCAGCCTGGGCCACCTCAGGCAAACTGGCTGGGTTCTCAAGTGCCCTGAATAATTTTCTCCTGTGCCCTGCTCTTAACCCCCACCAGACCATGCTTCCTGAGGACAGCAGCTTTTCTCCCTGCTCCTTTCTCTAAAAAATTTTAAAACAAAGCTCAATGAAAATTTTTACAGTAGGTACTCAGCAGGGGTTGCCACAGGAGGGAGGGCGGAGGGAGGGCAAGGAGCAGTCGTGTTTTTCTATGCTGCTACTTCTGTCTGTAATCTTTTTACCAAAATAAAAAAAATGTCCCTCACAAGCTGGAAGTGAACTAAGAAATCATCTGGTCCAGACTCCCCCCTTGTTTGTGGTCACACAGTGACAGGTGGGGCAGCCGTGCACACTGCTGGGCCTCAGAGCACGGAGCTGCTGCTGCTCATTGAGGGCTCACATGCTGCAGAAAAGCCCGCATGCAGCAGATACTAGGCCCTTGACGTGCATCTGCCTGCTTGATTCTCCCAGGAACCCCATCACCAAGCCCATTATGCACGAGGAAGCCGAGGCAGAGAGGGGTTAGGAACACGCCCAGACAGGAGTCAGCATACGGATGAGGTGTGCGCTCGGGCAGCTTCCGGCTCTGTTCTTTATCCCTGTCGGCATGAACTACAGATTCAGTGACCAAAGGAGGTGGCACCCCATTTCCCTGCCCCACAACCCCACCCTCCTCTCTGCCCAGCCCCCACTTACAGCTGTCCATTCTTCTCCGTGTAGAAACGCACGGACTTGATGGTGGCCACTACCACAACCATACACAGGGTGACAGGCACAAACAGCATGATCACATGCTTTGCCCCATATTTAAGGGTGAGCTCTTCCTCCAAGCCTGGTGGCCGTCCGGGCACCCCACTGCAGACATAGTGGTCAGAGTCCTCCTCGTGGTCCTCCTGGCTCTCCTGGCTTCTCTGTGGGAAGGCGCATTGTGAGTGATGGTCACAGGACACCCAGCTCGGGACCTACAGACTGAGTGCATGGGTGTTTTGGAATCCAGTTGGGAAGCGTGAATGTCTCTTTCCAGATCTAAGAACCAGTCTATGGGTTGTGGTTTAGATATGGGAGTGCTGGAAATCCAGGACAATTTATGGGGAAGACTAGAGAAGACTTAGAGTTGGTACTAAGCACCACAGATCGAGGAAGGGAGGCTGAGGCAGCCAGAGGAAAGGGCACACGCAGCCAAATGACAGCACGGCCTCCCAGTCTGGGGCATACTTCGGATCTTCCTTCTCTCAGTACAGGGACTCGGGTTGCCACTAAGTTCTGACACATGCCATACTAATTTGGAGACAGGCTGGGTGATAGGAGGAAAACAGATACACATTTCTAATTGACAAATCACAAACCAGAACAGTCACCACACATGGGGACTCTGACTGTGAATAGGACACGGGATTTGCAGAGGTAGAAATTTACATTTAAATTTTCCCCCAAATCAGACTGATGACAAAGATCTATAAAGAGCTGATGTGACTCAACAAAAACAAAATAAACAATCCAGTCAAACAATGGGCAGAAGAGCTAAACAGACATTTCTCCAAAGAGGAAATGCAAATGGCCAACAGGCATATGAAAAAATGTTCAACATCACCTGTAATCAGGGAAATGCAAATCAAAACCACAATGAGATACCACCTTACACCAGTGAGAATGGCACATATTAAAAAAACAGTAAACAAATGTTGGCGAGAATGTGGAAAAAAAGGAACTCTCTTACACTGCTAGTGGGAGTGCAAACTGGTGGAAAGCTGTGTGGAGGTTCCTCAAAGTACTAAAAATAGAGTTACCAGATGAACCAGCAATTCCACTCCTAGGGATCGACCCAAAGGACATAAAAACATTAATTCAAAAGGATACCTACACCCCTATGTTCACTGCAGCACTATTTACAACAGGCAAGATAGAGAAACAACCCAAATGCCCAAAACAGATAACTGGATCAAAAAGATGTGGTATATGTACACGATGGAATACTATTCAGCAATCAGGAAGGATAAACTCATGCCATTCACAGCAACATGGATGGAGCTGGAAGGGATTATGCTCAGTGAAATAAGCCAGAAAGAAAAAGAAAAATAACAGATGGTTTAACTCATAGGAGGAATGTAGGGAAACCAAATAAGGGATCAGGAAAATACAGTAATTATAATAAATTAAAAATAAAATTAACAGGCAACTATAAACAGAGGTGCTCTGCAGAGGAGGGAGAGGGAGAGGGATCAAAACAAGGGAGGGAAGAGCACAAGGGACTATGGTGATGGTTCACGGGTAAATTGGTGATAGGAATTTTACAGGGACTACACCTGAGAGGAGAAAGCATACATGAACAAAAAGGAAGAATGATGTAAACTGTATGTAAAATAAATAAAATAAATTTTCCCCAAAATCAGGACACTAATTTGTAGCTGAGGCTAACTGGACATCAAGCATCTGGGAGGTTCCAGGCTATGGGAAGGTGTGAATGGAAGTGAGCCAGCAGCAAAGAGTAGGATGCCCGCCAAATGCTGGCATACACCCATCTCCAAAAATGTCTGGTTTGCAATTGTAGTAATTCAGGGCCATTAGCTATCTTGTTAATTAGAGTAACAGTCAAATGAAAATCAAAATGAAACAAAAATTTAAAAAGACTATTGTTTCAGTATCTGTTCTTTTAGGGAAAAATCCAATCTAGATATTCAACTGAGAGAGAAAAGGAAAACTTTCAATGAGCAGGAACTGAAACTACTGTAAAGCACAAGCTCCCCAGGAGATAAGATGAAGAAATTAGCAAGAAAAGGCCTAGAAGCCACTGGGCAGTAAGTTGGGAGCAGTGAGTTAGTTAGCTTTCAGTTGGGAGAGATTTTGCCCAGAGTACAAGGAAAGACAGAAGAAATAATCTCAGATTTCAGCAAGGGGGTAAAGACTGGCCAGAAGGAAGAAAATCCATACAGGAAAGTTTTTAAATACCCAAAAAGGAAAAACAGAGAATGGGACTCAGGCAAAACTGGACACTGTTTTACCCTGATGGGAAGGGAAATGACTTGGCGAGGTGACTTCTCCCGCTCTGTGGGCTGAGGAGACAAGATCACCATGCAGCCCACCCACCCTTCCTGCTGTGGTCTGAAAGTTTGTGCCCCGCCAAACTCCGATGTTGAAACCTGACCCCAGGTGAGCTGGTATTGGGAGGAGTAGCCTTTGAGAGGCAGGCAGGTAGGTCATGAGGGCAGAACCCACGGGAATGGGGTGAGCGCCCTGCCCCTTCTATCTTCCAGGTGAGCACACGGACAGAGACAACTATCTATGCACTGGAGCAGGCCCTCATTGGATACTTGGGGCTTTGAATTTATACTCCGCAGCCTGCAGAACAGTGAGAAATAAATGCCTAGTTTGCAAGCCATCCAGTCTATGGTATTTTTGTGAGAGTGGTCTGAATGGCATTAAACAACCCCCCACCTCCAAAGCGAACATGAAATAGGTGTATTTATTTCTTGGTAGCACATCTGACTATCTACCAACAAGGTCCCCATCCCACTGTGCTCTAGCCTCTCTGCAGCCCTCCCCGCATGCAGCACTATCTCCCCTGTGGAAAGAACAACCTGAGGAGGAAAGAACAACCTAAGGGGCAGGGGCTGGGGTGGAGAATGTCACCGAGCCCACTGCAAAGTCGACTGTAGCAGGCTGTGAACATGCAGCGCCCACAACAGCACCTGCACAGACAGAGATCCACTCACTGGATGGACACCATCTGGCCATTTCTCACCTTTACAGCCCCCTCCCACCTCAGCAATGGCTGGTTTCTATCCATTTGTTATGGGAACCTGAAGGGCTGCCTTTTTTTTTTTTTTTTGTGGGACCCTTGCCGGTGGCTGGGGATCGAACTGGCGCTGCAGAGGCTGCGGGCAGCCTCGCAACCCAGCGCTCAACTGCTGCTCCACCAGCGGAGGCCCTATTTTTTTATTTTTATTTTTTTAAGATTTATTTTATTTATGCATTGATGCACTGGGGTGTAGGCCAGAGGTGTGTGGGGTGAGAGGATTCCCCAGAGACAGAGTGGGGAGCAGAACAGGCAGATCTACTGAAATACACTGCTGAGGAGAGCAGCAGACAAGATAGGAGAGGTCTGCTGTGCCATGTGGGTAGCTCCCTGGCCAGGCATTGAACTCAGGCCGAAGTAATGGTACTGCTGAGACTTAACCCCTAGGTCACCAGGGAGGCCCCCATGGGGCTGTTTCAAGGCCTAACTGCTAGGAACCTACCCACTGGGCAGCGTTGTCTCCATCCTCTGGGCCCTGCTGGCCCTCCTGGCAGGAACGCGCCGTGGGGCTCTCGGCTGACATCAGGGATGTACGCTCGTCACACACGTCTTCCTCGCTGTCAGAGGCCATGAACGTGAGCATGGCCCTGCCTCGGGAAGGGCCTGGAAAAAGGAGCACAAGGAACCTCGTTCCACTTTGTTGTAAAGCAAAGGCAGCAGAGGACTGTGTCTGCTGGCTGGAGGCAGCCTGAATATCTGGACACAGGTCCTGCCCACAGTGACCCCGCAACAGTCTTGCTATATCAACAGTCCCTCAGAGCCATCACAGAGGCTGCAGCAGCCTCTCAAGGCGCCAACCTGGGAAGATGCAGGCCACAGGTAGATAAGTGAACAACTAGAAAAATGAGGACCACTCCAAATTGCTAGCATGCTTATTCAATCAATAAACACACGTTGAACACCTACTGTGTGCCAATAACTATGCGTGGCTCCAGGGATATGAAGATGAGAAAGAAATATATTTTGTCATTTGGAAAAATACTCTTGAGAATAACATGTGATGGAGACATACTTTTGCAGGTGGGAGATTGGGCCAGAAGGCATGAAAATGTTCCATGTCCTGGCACTGCCGGAGTGGGGTGGGGCTATGGATGTGTAAAGTGTCTCTATGCCATGTTAAGAAAATACATATTATTCTCCAAGCACACAGGTGATAGACAAGGTTAGATCTGTGATTGGAAATGTCAGGTCACTGGTTACAAAGTAAAAAGAAGGGAAGGAGAGGCCCCCACCCCAACTATAGAGGGTGAACTGGGCCTGACTAAGGTGGCAGCAGGATGGACAGAGGTAAAGGGACAGAACCCAGATCAGTTAGAGGCAGATGGACAAGGTCAATGTGTAAAACAATGGGCAGAATCCAGAGGAGCCAGGCTTGGGGGTGGGGGAGCATAGAAGTTTCAGGGGAAAGACTCTGAATTTGTTTTGATCCAGGAAGCGTTGAGTGTGAATGGGTGAATAAAAGGCAGAGGATGTTGAGTGTCTGGGTCTGGGGTTAAGTAGGGGGGATGAGTCATGAGTTAGGAAGAGGTGGCCCAGGCAGTAATAGCAATGAGACAGCGTGAGTGGGAGCACTGGCACAGCTGAGGCCAGGACCCACAGGGAAGAACAAGGATATAGCGACTACACAGGGAGGAAGCCTGATCCTGGAGACCCCGGGCTGCCCCAGTGCTGTGTCTATGCAGCAGCCGGGCTTCAGTGCAGTGCTGGGGAAAGCGTCACACATCCCTGGCAGATATGCCTGACACCACCCACAGGGAGAGCTCAGCTATCACCAGGGCCAGCGACTCCCATCACATCCTCCTGGGGACCCTTGGGCCTGAGATCCATGGCCCGAGGGCGCGAGGGCCAGGGCTGCTGTCTGCTGAAAGTATAGCTGCTCTCCCAAGTCAGTCACTCCCATGCTTCATGATTTTCTTTTTTTTTCTTTTTTCTTTTTCTTTTTTTTTTTTTTGTGGGACCCTTGCTGGCAGCCGGAGAACGAACCGGCGCTGCAGAGGCTGCGGGCAGCCTTTCAGCCCAGTGCTCAACTGCTGCACCACCAGGGGAGGCCCCCCATTCTTCATGATTTTCAAATGAAGCGGGCAGGTTTCTTCCACAGAGCTAGCCACTTTGTTCATCCTTGCAGGGTCTGTGGCTGTCACTCTTTGAAGACAGTGACTTGGGCTGTGGCCTGGATTACTCCTGGTTGAATATCAATGTCATCCCCCAATTACAGGCAAAGGGGAGAACCTGCCTCTGTTCACCTCACAGACTTGGACCGATTACAAAAGGCTCCCCTGTCCATCTCACAGGGACTTCAAAATGAATGAGGTCCTGGCGTGGTGAAGGACTGATGAGACAAGTCCAGGAGGAAGAGGAGGAGGCAGTGGGCTAGCTGCCGGGAGGGGGTGACAACACTGTGTGAGCGGAGTGGAGATAAAGCAGGAATGTATCTCTGTTGTTGGGAAGAGCTATCTCGGTCTCAAGAAGGAGGACATGAAATGGGCCTCCAAGGCTAGGGATATCTTTCCATGTAGAGGCTGAAGGAGGTGGGGTATCCTGGAAAGAGGCAGGCAACCTTGTAAATAAGTGGGAGGGGAGACCCTGTGGAGCTTATTCTGACTGAGCATCCTGACATGGCTGATGCCAAGACCTGAGAGGCAGTGGTGAGGAGGCTGGAGAGGTGGTGGCTACAGAGATAGGGGTGCGGGTACCTGCAACCTGAGTAAGAGTCAGTAATGGAGTGGAGAGGTATGAGGGGGGCAGAAGAGGAACTTGAACAGCGTGATCCTTACAGAGCACGTGCCTGCTGAGCAGCACGGATGGGGTGTCTGCCTCCTCCTTCCCAAGAGAATCCCCCAGTCAGTCTCAGTCCAGGGGCCACAGGAGGGTAGATCTGCTCCTCGGGCCAGTCGGGCCTTGACCCAGCAGCATGTGCACAACAGAGCCCAATTAGAATGGACGGAGCTTTGTAGACCCAACACACTGCAAGACCCTGGGAAGCTCTTAGCTCTAGTTCCTCCATCTGGTAGTGACAGAAACTGTCTACTAGAATCCCGGAGGAGAAATTTGACATCCTCACCAGATAAATCCTATATAAACACCCGCCTGGACACAGCACTCACCACCCACTCTGGCAACAGTGAGGCCACTCTTGCCCAAAGCGGGGCACCTGAAACAAAGTGCTGACTGCATTTTCTTTTTTGCCTTTTTTTTTTTTTTAAAGATTCATCCATTTGTGCATAGAAGAGCTGGGGTACAGGCCAGAATTGTAGGAAGTGAGAGGATCACCAGAGACAGAGTGGGGAACACAACAGGCAGACTGACCAAAATATACTGCTGAGAGGAGCAGCAGGTCAGACAGGAGAGGTCTGCTGCGCCATGTGGGTAGCTCCCTGGCTGGGGATCGAATTCGTGTTGCAGTGGCTGTGGATAGCTTCATAGTGCGGCACTTAACCCCTTGCACCAGCAGGGAGGCCCTGGCTGCGTTTTCTTAAGCTAAATCCTGATATTCCCCCTGCAGCTGCACCTTAGATGGGATGTGAAACTCTGGGTGCCTCTTTCACTACTGTGTATTCTAGCACAGCAGTTTTGTTTGGGGTGTGAATTAATAATCCAGTTACTCTCCACCTTCTGTTCTCCCCAGCCTCTGGAGCATCTGTGATTTGTCTGCAATGACTGGAGCCTTCATGAGTCCCTGCAGATACCTCACAGGGACTGTAACCAGGCAGGGCAGGGGGAAAGCTCGCCCTTTACAATCACAACAGCTGCACCGTTTGGAGGCTGCTTCTCCTAGAATCCCAGATAGCAGGTACAAGAGAAAGGAGCAAACTGGGAGCAAAGATACTTCTTGGAAGGAGAACGGGAGTTATGAGAAGGTGGGGACAAAGAGCAGGGGACCCAGGATCAACAAGGTTAGGTCATTCCAATGTCCACTTCTTCAGTCACAGTCAGCAGCTAACAAGACGTGTCCTGGAAAGCATTTCCATCTCCCATAGTCCCCAATGTCTGAAGAAGGACACGTGGGGGAAGGTGAGCTTAAGGAAGGGTGTTTCCCTTCCATGTGATGCTGCACTGGACAGAAGAAGATGCATCAGAAAACCACAAAACACACTTTTCATCCCACCCAATGTAATCTGTAAAAATGGACTTCTCATCAGAAAACACTCTTTTTCTTTCAACCCACTCAAAATATTCTGCCAAAGTCTTCCCTGAAGCTTACCCAAGACAATGAGGTCAAGATTTCTAGAAAAGCAAAGTAGGATGGGGGGATTGTAGCCAGATAGTATCAGAGAAGAGCTGGTCTTGGCTGTCAAAGCAAGGGTACCATCTAATCCCAGCCCTCCCGGCCTGGTGAGATGGGCCTAACAGGTGGACGCACTTCTCAGAGCTCAGCACCTGAAGCAGGACTTAGCACTTAGGAAAGGCAGGAGCCCTTGAGATCTCAGTTTCTCAAACTGGTCCCCCCCCTGCCAGGTGGGAGTAGTAGAATATCACCTGCTGAGTCCCAACTATGCGCTAAACATAGTAACCCCAGAAACTAGGTACTATGGTTCTTCCCCACTTGACAGACCAGGTAACGGGTTTAAAAAGTGATAGGTTCAAAATTACCTGACCCAGGTAGTCAGATTCCATGCTCTTCAACACAATGCTAATAAATGCAGATCCCTGAGCTCCATCTTCACCAAAGGTCTAGGGAACTGGGTTTTGAGGCAGTCCCTGGGCGATTCTCAGGCTGACGTTAGGCCTCCCCTGGGACTGCCACGGCCCTGTAATCAGACGCCCCGGTCAGGGCCTCCAGCTCCACACTGCAAGTGTCCAGTTACAGCCCCCATCAATGGCCTGGGCACTTCCCCCACCTACTAGCCCCCGCCTCACCCCAGTGCCCAGCAACACCTGCTTGCTGAATGGGGGTGAAAGAATGGACAGTGCTGTCTTCCGAATCCCCCGTCTGGTCAAAGAGTGACAGTTGGAAGCAGGGAGGAATAGAAGCTTCTCAGATAGGAACAGCTGCAGGGGGAGAAGAGAGCTCTCAAGCTGAAAAAGCTTGAGATGCCCACCCAGGAGGGGGTGGAGGAGGGGGTAGAAAACTGTTTCTTGAACACCACTGGTGCTTAGCAGACCTATCCTTCTGAAGGTAGGGAAAAGTGGAAATGTTAAAAATATTCGTACCTTTTGATCCTGAAATGCTACTTCTTGGAATTGGTCCTAAGAAAATAATAAAAGATTCATATAAAAGCATGTTTGCTACAGTTACTTAGAATTTCAAAAAAAGTAAAAAATGACTGAAAGGCTGGATTGTACTTTATGATATGATGATGTGTACTACATGACCATTAAAAATCTTTTTTTTTTTTTTAAAGATTTATTTATTTATTTATACAAGCACTGGGTACAGTCAGAAGCGTGGGAGGGTGAAAGAATTCACCAGAGCGGGGAGCAGAGCAGGCAGAAGGACCGAAGTACACTGCTGAGGAGAGCAGCGGGCAGCAGGAGAGGCCTGCGCGACATGTGGGACCCTCCTCTGGTGGCCGGGGAGCAGCCGGGGATCGAACCGGCACTGCAGAGGCTGCAGGCAGCTTCGCAACCCAGCGCTCAACCGCTGCGCCACCGGGAGGCCCGACCATTAAAAATCTTATTTCAAAGAATAATGTGAAAAAAATATAACTAGATGTTGAATTTGATATAAAACTTCACATATATAATCATCTCAATTTTCGTAGAAAATACGTGTATTTGAAGGTTCAATAAGAATATTACAAAATAATAAGTATAACAAAATAGTGGGTGGTTTTTCCACTTTATATTTTTCTGCATTTCTTAAAGCTACTACATGGATGGTGCCCACTACCCCTACCTGTAGTTTTCTTTTTAAGCTATTATAATAATGTACTCTTATCCAAAGTTTTGCTTGCCAAGATTTCAGTCACCTGCAGTCAATCGTGATCCAAAAGTATTAGAGAACACATTCACATAAGTTTTATTGCAGTACACTGTTGTTGACTTTTATTATTAGTTGTTATTAATCTCTTACTGTACCTAGTTTATGTTAAACTTTCTCAAATGTATGACTGTATAGGAATAAGCAGTCTACATATGTAGGTTTTGGTACCACCTGCACGTCCAGGCATCCTCAGGGGGTCTTGGAACACACACCCTGAGGATAAGGGAGGACCACCGTAGTTTTTAAAGGGAAATAATGAGTGTCAACATTTAGACAGACTTTCTTCCCTGCCTGCCTTCCACCTCTCCTCTCACTGGTCTGGGGGAACAGATGGACGTGAAGACACTTTTGATCTTCTCCTAGCCCCTCTCATTAGGTGACTCTTAAAGGAAAACAGACCAGCTGGATTGGACTCCTTTTGAATTCCTAAGAGGGTGCTTTGCCAGGCATCTACGTTGGAATTAAAGCCTTCATGGTACTCTAAAATCCTTAGAGGAAAAAAATCACTACCCAAATAAATGCACATAAACAACCTCCTGCTAGATGTTTGTCCACACCAGAGTGCCAGTGACGCCCGTGAACTCCCGCAGGAGGCTGACTCAGGGGCCGGCAGGGGTGGGGCACGTGATGTCAAATCCTACCAGCCACATAGCAACCAGCTCTCCCTTCTATTAGAAAGCCACAGAAAAAAAGCAAAGGGGCTAATGGGAAAGGAGGGTTCCAGTGTGTAAGACTCTTCTAGAAGCCCTTCCCAGAACCGAGTGGCTGGAAGCTGTCTAGGATTAAGATGCAAAATCAAGCAAGCCACTGCTCACTCTCATTCATCAGCTGAATGAGATGGAAATGCTGAATTAGCCAAACTGGGAGGGTCTGACCCAGAGAATTTTCCCAAATTCAGCCTGTGTCAGCAGTTCCTGCAATTATTATGGAAACCTGGTGACCCAATTTCCTCTACTTTCTTTTCCTTTCAGAGAAATATAAGAGTTTGACCTAACTAGGAAATAGATGTTCAAATGCCAGCGTAAACACTCATGCCTCTTGGAAAAGATGGAAACAGCTGCTCAAAAAGCAAACTGCAGCAACTGCACTTACCATGAACACTTGGGGCTGCAGAAAAAGGCTGGGATCCCAGATACTGTGTTTGTTTTTGAAGCAAGTCCAAGGAACAGAGCTCCCTCACTTTCAAAAAGGGCAGTACTGGTTTTAAACAGGTCACCTTCTATGATCACCCAGGTATCCAGAAGGCTCCCCTGACTCCTGGGAAGTTCCCCTATCTTCCCTTATATAAGGGAAGGGCTTGCTAAGGTGAGATTTCTTAGAAAATGCCCCAGCTCCCCTGCCTGCCTGTCTCTCCCATCCCTGGGTCTTGGCTGGCCTTCATCTATCTGTCCATCCACCTCAGTCCATACCATGCTGCACGTCACTTGCCAGATGGCTCTCCCCAACATAGGGAGTGGCCTGGGCCACAGTTGGGACCCAAGTCCGTCAGGAAGGCTCTGAAGTAACATTCCACCCTCCCATGTCACAGAGCCCATGAATGTGGTGGGGCCTCCCTGAGCCTAGACCCAGACTCTATGTTTATTTTTGCCCTTTACTTTTCAGAAGTGCCATGACCCAGGCAGATTCTCCCACTTCCTGGAAAAGGGGCAGTTTGGGGGAAGTGGCAAAGGGAAGCTTTGAGGGTCGTCACAGAGGCCATGCCCCTAATATGCCCCATTTAAGCAGACCTCCCTCCATCCTTTCTAATGAGAAGCAGCAAGCCAACGGTCCAACGGTCAAAAACTGAGGCTTTGGAGGCTGGCAGGGTTTGAATCTCCTAGCTGTGTGACATGAACCTCATACTCCCTGGCTGTATGGCCTCAAACAATTTATTTAACCTCATAGGGCCCATCTCCTCTTCTATAAAAACTAGGATAGGGATGCCTTGCAAGACTACTATGAAAACTAGAGATAACTCGTGAAGTGTCGACATAGTAGGTGTTCAATAAATGGTCGTTATAATGGAGATGAAATGGATGCAGGGCACAGTGAGAGGGGACAATGAAAGCCTGCAAACTCTCTTGTAAAGTTACACATCTGCTAAACCACCAGACACACAAGTTAAGTTACCAAGCTCAGGCCTCACCCAGGCCCCAGGGTGACATCCTGTTTCCACCTAACCCCAGCCAAGGCACTCTGACAACGGAACATTCTGTCAAATGAAAGGGGACTTCTATAGAATCAACATCAGAACTGGCAAGCACCCTATTTTATAGTTAAGAAAACCGAAGCCCAACGGGGCTAAAGGAATCGGTTAAAGTTCCATAACCAAAAGCCACAATTACAATTCAGGTCTCCCAGTTGCCAACTGAGACGCTCTGCCCTGCCCATTCAAAGTGATTGTGAGGGTCACATCCTCAGTGACCTAGGCAGCCCACACAGCATACCATGTGGCCTCTCCGGGTGCACCCGTATTTATAAGGCATATGCCTTTGCCATGGGCAGATATGAGCCTTTTCTTTAATATGTAATTTCTCCAAAACACAGACAAGAGGTGACATATGCCAAGTCACTCATTCGCCAGATCACCTGCCACCAGGCCTGGGGCCCTCTCTGTGCCTTCTCTGCTACCAAAGCTCCACAAGGTGGGGGTGGGGATTCAACCTGGGCATGGCACTTTTGGGGGAAGTGCCCACCTGTGGGGCTGGGGGTAGGAGACAGGGCACTGCCTCTCTGGGAAAGTTTCCTGCTGTGGGACTAGTAAGATAAATAAAACGCACATTCAAATAACTACATATCCATCAAATCCAGTTTTCCAATAATTCTCAATGGAGGAAAATTCTGAAAGTATAACACTAGCAGAAAAAATAATAAACAAAAGTTAATCTGCAGCTTCCTACCTCTAATATGTGTGTGTGTGTGTGTGTATAGAAGAACTGAGATGTAGGCCAGAGGTGTGCGGGATGGGAGGATTCAACAGAGACAAAGTGAGGAGCAAAGCAGGTGGGCTTACTGAAATACACTGCTAAGGGGAGCAAAGGGAGAAACAGGAGAGGTCTGCTGTGCCATATGTGGGTCAGCTCCCTGGCGGGGGATCCAACTCAGAACTCAGGCCAAAGCGATGATAGTGCTGAGACTTAACCCCTAGGCCACCAGGGAGGCCTCTCCTACCCCTAATATTTTAATAGGCAAAGGTATATATGCGCATAAAGAGCTGCAAGGACATGCATATTAAGAGTGGTTATCTCTGGGCTCAATGCTACTAGGTGACTTTTACAATATAAATTATTGCATTTTCTAGAATAAACACGTATTTCTTCTATTTTAAAAAATGTCAGGAGAAAAGTGAGCACCCTTTCATTTTTCTTCCCATGCTCCAGAAGACCACATACTAATAAAAATGAGTGAGTGGCCCGTTCGGCCCATTCTCCCATGCAATGAAGAGACTGGACAAGAATGTTCTCCTCGGACATTCTGAGGATTAATTTGAAGGTACTTTCCCCCCCAGACTTTAACTGGCAACTTCAGCAACCTCCAGGCCCAGAGGCCAACAGTGATACTGTTATAGGACAGGGAGAGGGGCAATTACAAGGCTTGAAGCTCATGTCAGAGCTTCAGGTTGAGGAGAACCTCCCAGACCTGGCCATTGGAGTCGGGTGGGCATGGCAGCCCCAGAGTCCTCGCATTCCTTTCCAACTGGTCCAGTGGGGGAACAGGTGGACATACTTTCAGGAGCAAGTGCTGTCTTTCCAGACCCAACTAAGCAGTGTTCAAAAGTCAAAGCAACAGCTGAAAACAGGTCAAAGAGGGCTTCAACACAAACCTGCACATGACCTACAGTTTTGATTTCCCCAAAAATCAAGAAACATTTTTTTTTTGCTTTGTAGTTACTAATGGAAATCACACAGAAATCTGGGCAGTAATGCAGAGTAGCAGTGAACATGGGAAGCCTCATGTGCAAAAACTTGAAAGATAAAGATGACTTAGCCAACGGGTTCAAATCCTAGAAACCTGTTTCTCTTCTTGTAACAGTGAAAATAACGACTTCAGAGTGATCAAAGCTCTTAAGATAACTGTGATTGCTGTACAAATCCACTTTTATATAAATGACAAACTCATAAAGTAAGGTATGTTAGGTCATTATTAATAACGTAGAGAGAGGCCAAGGTAGTCTCACTTGGCAAACCCTGTGTGTCAGGGGGACTGTGAGCAGCCAGGGGCAGCTGAGGAAGGGGTGACAGGCAGGCAACCTGCACTGGGCCTCCAGGCATGTGAGCTGGAGCCTCTGGCCAGGTTCTCTCTTCCTTCCCCTCCCCCCCACCAAAGATGGGAACAAGGCATTCACTTCCCATTATTCACTCCCCATTATTCACTCCCCATTACAGGGATAAGCCAGTTACCAGACTCAGATACGTCAACACCAAGCAAAATGTAGAATTTTTCCTGAAACCTGAAATGACATCCACCCCACTCCACTGCAACATTCCCCCAAGATTCCAGGCCCTGCCTAAAGTCCTCCTCCAAAGCCCAAACCTGGGTGGTCAGCCAGCTCTGACCCCTGCCCCTTTACCAGCTGGACCCAGAAAACAGCTGCTGGCAGGTTCCCCTCTCCCACACAGCCACACACACAAAAGGGAACCTGAGGTACACACACCTGAAACAGCTTATCCAGAAACTTTAGTCCCTGCCAAAGGTCTTGGCTGGAGGCCTTGGAGGCTCAGATGTCTACAGAATGCACTATACAGGCTTGGGGTGGGGGTGGGGGGTGGGGGAAGGCACTGCATCTATACCTGAGGCAAGGTCTGTCCTGATCAAGTTACTCTCAGGGTGGGCTCAGCAGCTTAGGGTATGAATTTTGAATTAAACTGACTCTGCAGTCATTCTCTATGGGAGGCCTCGCAGGCTCTCCCTCAGTAAACGGGATGCAGCTACTCCTCCACCAATCAACAGTTCATACCTTGAAAGGGGAATACTCATTAAGTCATCGCCGGAGCATTCCATCCAACTGCCAAAGGCCTGAGGTCTGGTCCCAGGGCAGGACAGCAGAACTAGAGGTCGGGACAAAGGGTTCTAAGGCTGCTTCTGCATATCCTACCTGAGTGGCGTTGGACAGTCATCTGGACTCTGGGCTGAGTTTATTCATTGATAAAATTTGGGGTAGGGACTAGCTCGTTTCCTTCAGCTTCAAAAGCTTAATTCTGGGAGCCCCTCCAGCTGCAAATGCTCGATGAAACAGCTAAAAACCTCCAAACGAAATCGCCTGCTTCAGGCCCGGACTTGGGGTCCCGGTGGGCCTCACATAAGTGGAAAGACATCCCCCCACTTGCCCCTCGAAGCAGTGCTCTGGGCCAAGAAACGAGGCTCCCAGAACTGGGCGCCGAGGAGGTCCCAGCTAAAAGGGAAGAATAAAACGCCATTCCTCCCCCTGCCCCCGCCCCAGCCGCCCCGTCCCCCGACCACACGCCGTGGGGACCCACGTGCGCGGTTCCTTTAAATGCCCGGCCCTGAGCAGCCCCCACCGCGCCCACTCCCCGCGCGGCTGGAGGCCCGAGGCCTGGGGGCCGCTCTCCGCGCTCCTTCCACCCCCAGTTCCGGGTCGGCCCCCGTCGCCGCCTTCAGGGCGCCCTCCCCTCCCCCCTCCCCTCCCCTCCCCCCCCCACCCCCGCGCTGGCCGCAGAGGCCCGGACCGAGGCGCGCGGGGACCGCAGCCCCGGGGCCGGCCACAGGAGCGCGGCCGGCGGCGCGAGGGTCGCGCGGGGGCAGAGCCGGGCTCGCGGGCCGCGGCCACCCCAGGCCTCCACGCCGCAGGGCACAGGGCCCCGGCGCGCGCCCCCCGCCCCGCCCGCTCACCTGCTCCGCCTCGGCGTTCCGGCCGCGTTGACGCCGCTGGCCGGGCGCCCGGGCAGCCCCAGCGCGCGCAGACCCCGCCCCCGGCCCGCCCCGGCCCCGCCCGCGGGCGCCCCGCGCGCCGCCCGGTCCCCGCCTGACCCCGCCGCCGCCGGCCCGTGCAGGGGAGCCCCGCGCGCCGGGCCGGGCCTGCCCGGGGCCTCCGCCCCCCGCGGGCACTGACCTGACGTGGGGCTGGGCGGTGACCTTAGGTGGAGAGGCTCGACCTGGCGCCTCACAGGGTCTTGGCGGCACCGCGGGGAGACAGAGCGTTTGCTTCCTGGGCTAATTTCTGAGTTTTCAGGTACCGGCCTCCCCCCCTCCCCCCTCCGGAGGGCTTACTGGTAGTAAGTCACCAGAACTCCCGGTTAAAATTAAATAGGAGACGTTGTTGCTACCCCTGGCCTGAGGATTGGCTCCGGGAATTTTCCAGAATGTGGGGTCTGTGGGGTGAGTTGTAATTGTCAATAATTCTGTGTTATTTGAGTAACTTCAGTTAGTAAAATTAGGGTGAAATTCACAGGACACGAAATCCATTTTATTTATTTTTATTTTTTTATTTTTCAAGATTTACATATGTAGGGCCTCCCCTGGTGGCGCAGCGGTTGAGCGCTGGGCTGTGAAGCTGCCCGCAGCCTCCGCAGCGCCAGTTCGATCGCGCAGACCTCTCCTGCCGTGCCCGCTGCTCCCCTCAGCAGTGTGTTTCAGCAGTCGCCTGTTCTAGTCCCTGCTCTGGCTCTGGTGAGTTCTCTCACCTCCTGCGCTTCTGACTATACCCAGTGCTTGTATAAAATAAATAAGAAAATAAATAAATAAGATTTACCTATGCATGCAAGAACTGGGGTACAGGCCAGAGGTACAGAGGTGAGAGGATTCACTAGAGACGGAGTGGGGAACAGAACAGGCAGATTGACTGAAATACACTGCTGAGGGGAGCAGTTGGGGAAACTGCTGTGCCATGGAGCACAGCAGGAGAGGTCTGCTGTGCCATGTGGGTAGCGCCAGGGCTGGGGATTGAACTCATGCTGCAGTGGCTGCAGACATCTTCATAGGTTGCATCTCAATCCCTTGTGCCACCAGGGAGGTCCACAAAATCTATTTTAAAGGATAAGATTCAGTGGCATTTAGTACATTTACAATAGTTGCCACCAGCACCTATGTCATTACAAAATATCACTCCAAAAAAATATTTGTACCCATTGAAAGTTCCTTTTGTTCTCTTACCCCCATCACCTATCTACCTCTGTCTCTATGTATTTACCTATAATGGGTATACTTTGTAAATGGAATCATATGATACGTGACCTTTTGTGTGTGGCTTCTTTCACTTAGTATAATGTTTTCAAGGTTCATCCACATTGTAGCATGTGTCAGCCCTTTATTCCTTTTTATGGGTGGATAGTATTCCATTGCATGGACTGGAATAGCCACAATCTTTATCCATTCACCCATGGATGGACATTTGGGTTGTTTCTGCCTTTTGTCTACTGTCAGGGGTGCTACTATAAACATTGCAGTCTGGATTCCCTGCAGTCTGGATTTCCCAGGACTACAAAGTAGCCTGAAAAGCTTTATTCTCCCAATGGCTTCCTCCTTATTCTCCTCCTTTCCAGTCCTTTTGGTCTGTCTGCTTACCCCATCTGCCTTCACCCCACACATGTAGATAATACAAGTTTTTAAGTGCTTTCTACAGATGCCACCTGGGAAGCTGCTCTTCAACCTGTGGGAAGGGGCTGAAGCAAAGATCACTCCCTATACCCATGCCTTAGAGAACTGGCAGGCTGATCAAAATAGCAACAAGATTTTTTTCAGAATAGGTTTCTTGCTGCCCACCCTGGCACCAGTAAGTTATGCCAGGATTTCAGGTCACTGTCACCAGGACTGCTGCCGGACTGGGGAATGGGAGATGGTGGTACAAGTGCTGCAGTGCTTTTAATCTAAATTTAGTAGCCTCTTTTTTTGTGAATTACTCCCCTGGTTGTGCTAGAGTTTTTTTGGTTTGTTTGCTTTTCCATTAGGTTTCAGAGCCATAAATAGAGCTGATTCTGTCAGTTTTTGCCAACGTAATTGTTGCTTCAGTGTAGGGAGACATTCTTGAAGTTCCTTGTCTGCCATTTTCTATGACATCACTCCTAAGTAGCCTCATTTTTTTTTAAAGATTTATTTATGCACACAAGAACCGGGGTACAGGCCAGAGGTCTGAAGGGTGAGAGGATTCACCAGAGACAGAGCAGGGAACAGAACAAATAGACTCACTTTTAACACTGGGCACTATTGATTTTCAGTTTATTTTCCTCGATGCTGGACTTTCCTTGTTTCCCTCTTTCATAATTTTGGGCTTCTGTCTTGGTGGGCTTCTGTCCTCACACTCCTTAAGGAAGGCAGTCATGCCCAGAGCTGCCACCTTTGCTGATAGACCTCAACACTGATCCCTCTCCCCAGAGCCCCAGGCTTGTGGGTCACTGCCTGTGGACACACCAGAAATCCACAGCCCACTTTAGATCAAGCTACGTACATACATTCTGGCTAATAGGATGGAAGGAGAAGGGGGGCCTGTAGGGTAAAGAAAATGTCAGGCTTTTCTGCCCTTCCGCCATCAGGATAGATGATGGATCCTTGTCCTGAATGCATGCCTGATGGCGGGCACCTGGAATAGGGTGTGGGCATAGGTAGATGGGATTCAGCTGAGCTAAGACTGTGCTTTTTAAGGGCGGCGTCACGGGGACACCAGCAGCAGCAGCAGGAGTAGAAGCCAAAGCAGAAGCCGAAAGGGAAGCCGAGAATCCGCAGAAGCAATGCCAGAGAGCCCAGATAGAGTAAAGACTTGCTGGGGGCTGGGAGGCCTGCCAGCCCCCAGCCAGCACCCCTGCCTGCCATATGCCTGGTGAACCCCAATAAAAGACCTGCAAAAAAGCCACTGAGGACTTTGACTCCTCCTTTACCCGGTCTGCATGGGATCAGAAAACCAGCACTGTGTCCTGTCCTGCCCCTATAGGGCCTGTCCTCATTCTCATTCTTCTTCTCGTGTGGAATGTGCAGTGATGGTTGGAGCTCAAGCAGCCATATTGGACCATAAAGATCGTGAAGATGGTGAAGCTACAAAATGGGAGGATCTCTGTCTGCAGTGATTGTGGAGACACCAGCTTGGAATGGCTTACCTCTTTACTTTGTCTCGGGGAGAGAACAACTTTTGTCTCGTTTAGGCGATTATTTTGTGATTCCCTCACAAGCAGCTAAACCAAAGTTTAATACACAAGACCTTTCCAGCCTTATTCTCCATCTCCATACACCATATGCTCACTTGGCGATACTAAA